GCTACAGCATCTGCGCTTTCAGCCCTGGGGACGCCTTCCATTGGCGCTGCGCCTCGCGGGGAGCGTTCCAGGGATGCCTGGATCGTCCCGACCGGCTGCCAGAGGCCCGGGCTATGGCCCGCAAGCCAACGACAAGGCGGGGGGATAGGACAGAGCGGATGCGCTGGGGCGCCGACAGTTTCACTATTTTTCGAGATTCGCGGAGTGGTTCCACGTGCCATGCACGGTGGACATCGTCTTGAGGAAAGCATTGCTCTTGCTGGCGGCCTGCTGCATCGCACGTCCAGTCATGACATGCATTGCAGACTCGACGCCAGAATCAGGACATGTTCGCGTGGCCGCACACCTGGGGGGCTGGGGGGGCTGCTTTGAATGGGCACCAGCAGAACCAGCCACGAGGGCAAACAGGGCAAATCTGGCATTCAATGCCCGTCCGGAGAATGCAGCCCAGAGGGGACTGAGAACGAAATCTGTGCACGATGGTGGCCGACTCCTCGTCGCCAAGGTGCAGGGGTCCCTAGCCTGGCTGCCACAGCCCAGGCCTGTGCCCTTGCTGGCCAGCGCCTTCCTCGTCGCAGGTCTGCCGGCGCCCCTCGTCGCCACTTGCTGCTGCCGCCTCCCCCTCTGTGACGGCCGAAACCAATGAGGTCCCACGTCAACCCCCACAGCCGGCTCCAACAGGAGCCTCCAGAAAACTACACTCGGCTGGAGCGGGACTTGCGCCAAGTCCGTTCGGAACTCGGCGGCCCACTTGGGCCCATCGGCGCGCCAGGTCGCTACCCCCTTCGTTGATGTTGGAGACGCTGGGACGACGTTTTGATTCGCGTTCCACCTGTCGGTGTTCAGGCCAACCGAAGAGACAAAACAAAACGATGACGGCAGCCCAAAACAGAACGAAGAGACCAGCCCGCCGAGACTGATCAGACTCTTGAACCCCATACGGAATAACAAAACTGAAAAAAACAACAAAAAACAAAACAAAAACAAAAAAAAACTAGGTGGAAACGCGAAGGAAAACAAAACAATTAAAAACGACGACGACGACGACGACAACGACAACAATAACAACAACAACAACCACAATCATTTTAAGACTGTTCGCTCTTATCTGCTCGCGTGTCATTCAATACACATATCCCAAACCCTGGATACCCGCCCTCTTCGTTTTCGATCGTACCCCCCTTTTGGGGGGTATATTCATTCCCTGCCACGCGTGGTTGGTGAAGCCCTTGAAAAGAGAAAGCGTGATCCACCGCCGCCTCACTGTGCAAATTCCCCCCCTCTTCCTCCGGAACCCGGGGGTCCCCCCCCTCCCCCCCCCCTCCTCCCCTTTCCCGGCAAAGCCCCCCTCTTCCCCTAATCCCCCCCCTCCCCCCTCGAAAACCGGGGGGGGTCACTACCGGTTCGAACCCCCCCCCGTCCAAAACCTGAGGGGGGGCCACTACCGGTTCGAACCCCTCCCCACCCCACCCCCCCTCACCGCCAGCAAACGACTCCCGGTCCCGACCACCGTCCGCACCACATCCCCCACTGTTGTTCCCAGCACCACTGTCCTCACCACCACTGTCCCCACTGGTTCCACCACCGTCCCTACTGCCCCCACCATTGTCGCACTGTCCCCACTGTCCCCACCACTGTTCCCACCACGGTTCCACTCTCCCCACTTTCTCCACGGCCCCAACCACTGCCCGACTATCCCCACTGTCCCCACTGTCCCACTGACTCCTCCGCTGTCCCACTGAGCTGTCCCACTGTTCCCACCACTGTCCCCACTGTCCCCACCACTGTCCCCACTGAACCTCTGTCCCGTTGTCCCACCGCCGTCCTCGCCACCGCCTTCCTCACTGTCCCCACTACCACTGTACCCTCCACTGTCCCACTGTTTCCACCACATTCCCACTGTCCCCACACCACTGTCCCCACCACCACCGTCCCCACCACTGTCCCAGTGTCCCCACTGTTCCCACCATTGTCCTCACCACTGTCCCCACCAGTACCGTCCCCACCCCTGTCCCACTGTCCCCACCACTGTCCCGCTGTCCCCTCACCACTGCCCCCACCACCGTCCCCACCACTCTCCGCACCCCCACCGGTTTTCGACGGGGGGGGGTTCGAACCGGTAGTGACCCCCCCCCCGGTTTTCGAAGGGGGGAAGGGGGGGGGCTCGAAGCGGCAGTAACCCCCCGCCCTTTTCATGATTCACTGGGGGGGGGGGAGAGGTTCGAACCGGTAGTGGCCCCCCCCCCCCGGTTTTCCGGAGGGGGGGGGGAGGGGTTCGAACCGGTAGTGACCCCCCCCCCGGTTGTCCGCCAGCAGCGGTCGAACACGCTCTTTCCTTGAAAACGAAGGTAACAGATAACGGGGGAGAATGAGGACGAAGGGATCGGAAGAAGGGAGGGGAGGGGCAAGAAGGAAGGAGGACGATGATTTGCGCTGCGAGTGGCGACTCAGCTTGCGCCATGGCTTGCGCCAGCCACTCCAACACAGGTTAACAATAAGTTTCGCCATGGGTGGCGCCATAAACAGCGCCACGTACCACCCCCTTGAAAGAACATCTCGTGGATACCCCCCCCACGGGGGCACGTACAATTGCGAACTGGTGTCAAAAACAAATTCCGTGGAACCCTGAAAAGAAGGGGGATGTTGGGAGAGTGGGGCGGAAAGATAATGAGAACTGCAACCGTGTCGAAAGGAGCGCGATTCTTGAATAAATTGTGTGGAAATATCAAGCGGGAGCCGCGATCCGGTGGCAAATTGCAAGGAAGTCCCAAGCGAGAGCGCGATTCTTCAATAAATTGTGAGGAAGTATCAGGCGGGAACCGCTGTTGTTGTAAACCGGGGGCCAACGACACAGTTTGACGCTCAAGACTTTCCCTGCTAAAAAACAGGGTGCGAGCCCCAGGAAGGGCACTTCAATCGAAAAAACAATGTGCACCAGACGGGGGGATCAACAAAAAAATTCAGAAATGACAGTTCAACAACAACAACAACAACAACAACAACAACAACAAGAACAACAACAACATAAACATCAACAACAACAACAGCAACAAAAACAACAACAACAACAACAACAACAACAACAACAACAACAACAACAACAGCAACAGCAACAGCAACAGCGACAACCACAACAACAACAACAACAACAACAACAACAAAAACAACAACAACAGCAACAGCAACAGCAACAGCAACAACCACATCAACAACAACAGCAACAACAACAACAATAAGAATAACAACAACAACAACAACCACCACAACCACAACCACAACCACAACCACAACTATAACAACAACAACCACAACAACAACAACAACAAGAAGAAGAAGAAGAACAACAACAACAACAACCACAACCACAACCACAACCACAACCACAACTATAACAACAACAACAACAACAACAACAACAACAACAACAACAACAACAACAACAACAACAATTACTAGCACGTGGGGACACTCCGTTCTCACCAGTGCCAGGGTTTTCATAGGAGGCGGGCAATACCCCCACTTTGTGGGGGGGCCGGTTCAAGCTCTACCAAATTTCCAAACGACTCTTCGCCACCACCCACACCCAGCTTCCCGCCCTATGACGTTCGGACACTTCACTTCGTGGCATGCGGACGACCGTGGCTACTATTCAGGGCCCCGCGGCCGACGACGACGGCGTGCGCGCGCGAAGAAAAAACGAATGTGTCCCGCATGGTATTATTTGACAGGGATGATGGCCCTGGCAGGTGCGCAACCGTTGTTGCAGAAGTTCGAAAAAGTTGCTCGCAAAAGCCCGTTTGACAGAAATGTTTAAAAAGTGTTGGTTTTCCTACGAATCCGCAAGAGCGCGCGGGATGAGATTTTGACATTTTTTTGTTGAAAAACCATTGGTTTTTTGATGTTTTTATGTTAAAATCGCTCCGAACACTAAGCTTTTGGAAGGATTTCGTCTTGCGCGCGCGAATGTCCACTTTACCTTATTTTTTGCAAGGGATTCTTGAAATTTGATTATATTAGAACAAGAAATGTCATTTTATAGTGTTTTTTGCAAGGGAAAACGGATTACAACAAAACAACCGGATCTTGATGACATCGTATTACCTGAGGCTTCCTCACGAAAATGATGAAAATGTAGCTGCGGCCTAGGCGGCGCAGGGGGGCCGTGCACCAGGGGTCCCAACAATAATTATTCTTTAGAATTAATAATGTTCAACTGAAGCAAGCCCCAAGCGTTTGCAACATCCAAGGTCGCTCCGGCTCGGTGCCTCCGGGGTGGGCAGGCGCTCCGGGGGTCTGGCTCCGTGGCGCCCGCTTGGTCCCAGACGCTTCTTCAAAGGCGTCTCACGCGTTTCGAATGCCGCGGGATGGCATCCACAACGCAAGCGCCTGGAGACAGCCAGTCGGCCCAGACAAATCCGGGCGCTCTCAAAAGCCTCCGACGGCCCCGCGGACACGAACCGGAGGGATGCCATATCACGTCGGGGCACGACCGAGTCCGCCAAGCTGGCCCCCAGTCCGACTCGAAAGCATGAGATCTGGAGGCTCGAACGATAGCCCCCAAAGATTCTCTCGAGCCGAGAGACGTACCTCCCGAGTCGACCTACATACTGCTGGAGTCCGCGAAGGTGGTGCATCACCCCTGACACTCGACAATATAAAGGCAGACCATCGAGTCCGCCGACGACTGCAGGCAGCCATGCATGGAGCCGAGGAGCCAGAACCTGATTGACCCACCAGGAGAATCAAACTAAGCCATGAGCTTGCGAGGCGAAGTCACCCAGCTCCTCATCCCTTCTCCTCCTAATTATATGTCCTCCTCCCTCATGTTCCCCTCCCACTCCTTAACTTCTTGAATATTTTCATCGTCGCTGTCTTCGTCGTCGTCCCCCTTCAGGGTCGGCGGCACCGGCCGTACGGCCTTCGCAATCAAACGAAGCCATCAGCTTGTGAGGCGAAGTCCGGCGGGTGGGGGACGCGACTGCGGGGAAGGCCGGGAGGGCCTTGTTGCCGTCCAGCCAAGCGTTTGCGCTGTAGGAGAAGGAGTGGCACTCTGGCGTCTCGTCGCACTTCTTCGCGCACTCGTCCAACCTCTTCGCCGAGAAGTCCCCGAGGCTCTTGCCCTCCGCCTTCACCAGCGAGCGCTGCCCGTACCTCCCGCCCACGCGGGAAGCTCTCACGATGGGAGCCGGTGAGATCGGATTCGGGCAGCTTCGAGGAGGCCAGAGGCGAAGGTCGGAAGAAGACGGAGCCGACGGCGCACCCGCCCCGCCCCGCCCACGACCAGAAGACCAGAGATCGGTCAGCATGGCCCTTGGCCGGGCCAGGATGCGGCAGAGGTCCAGCCCAATCCGTGCGCGCTGCACGACGGGTCTCTTTCCTGGCAGGTTCTGGGCACGCCTGCCGACAGTACAGGGCAGATGCGCTGTGCGTTCGGCCATGCTGGGGCACACTGCGATCTCACACGCATGGGATCCCCTTCCGCCGTCGTCGGGGTCTGTTTCCTTCTCCTCCCCGCCGTTGCAAGCCTCACCCTCCGCCTGCTCCTTCGACTCCACACCAAATCCGCGTCGAGACCCCCCCTCCCTAGTCGGGGCCACGATTCTGGGGACCTCCGATCCACGAGCTGGAGCGGCGCGAGCGAGCTTGGGAGAGAAGCGGCTCAGGTTACTTTCGCCGGCTCCCTCGCGGCTCGGGGTTTCCCCGTGGCAACAACTTCGACCGCGTTTTGGCACGTCTCGCTCCCTCTCCATCTGCCTCTCCCTCTATCGATAATCATATAGAACTATATATTAATATGGAAGAAGGAAGGATGGATGTATGTATGTATGTATGTTTCCCTCTCTCTCTCTCTCTCTCTCTCTCTTTCTCTCTATCTCTGATAAATATATATACACATACATATGTGATTATATAATATGATATGATATGTGTGTGCATGTGTGTGTCCCGCTACACACACATATATATATATATATATTATATATATATATATATATATATATATGTGTGGATGTATCTCTCTATATCTATATCTATATACATATAGCTATATATATGTGTATGTATGTATAGATATATATACACCTTTCTGCGCCGAACCCTCTTCCAAATCCCATTGATCCATTGCGTCCTTCTCGGAGACCGGTGTGGGAGTTCCCTGGACACCCCCCCGGAAACCCCCGAAAAAACCCGGAGTTTGGGTGGGGGGTCTGTGGTTTTCCTCCCCGGATCCCAGGGGGGGGAACCTTGGGGGGGGTTAGGGGGGGTTCGGGGGACCGACACTTAAAAACAATTCGGGTGGTTTTCGGGAGGTCCCCAGGAGCGGGCAAACCCCTTCAAACCACATTTCGGGCCCACCCCCCGGGAACCCCCCAATTCGAGAGTTTTTCGGAAGGTTTTCGGTGGTTTTCCAAGGGAAAACCCAACTCCGTGTGGTTCCCCGGCGGGGTACACCCCCGAACAAAAACCCCAACTCGGGAGTTGTTCGATGTGCGTTCGATGGTTTTCCTGGGGGGGGGACCCCCCCCCGAAAAAAACAAAACACAAAAAAAACAAAAAACATAAAAAACATGTGTTTCCCCGCATCCAAAATGGGGTTTGTGTTTTCTCCGCACAACCTCCGCGCAGGATCTCTCCTCCTCCTCCCACCTTTATTTGTTTTCTCTCTTTCTCTCTATTTCTCTCTCTCTCTCTCTCGCTGTTCTCTCTCTCTCTCTCTCTCGCTTTCTCTCTTTCTCTCTTCTCCCTTCGCACACTCACTCAATCACTCACGCGTCATCACCTCTCACATTTTCCCTCTCACTCACCCACCCACTCACGCACACTATCACCACCATCGTTGTCATCACTCGCACACTCACTCATTCAGCACACTCATCATCATCATCACCATCATCATCATCATCATCATCATCATCATCAGCATCATCATCACTCGCTCACCCAATCAGTCACCCAACTACCCACCAACTCATTCACTCATCACCATCATCTTCAATCACTCACCTACTCATTCACTTGCCCGCTCACTCACACCCATAATTGAGGAAGTATCAGGTGGGAGCCTCGTCTGCACACGAATTGCGAAGAAATATCATGTGGGAGCCCCCTCCCTCTGGGGCCCGCATATAATATTGGTAATCCGAGCGGGTCATCGGAACCGTGTAACTGTCGTCACGTTTGGCCTCCTCATACTTGAATACGGAGGACTTCTCGAACGGGAGCCTCGTCTTTCAGTGGATTGCGAAGAAGTCTCAGGCGGGAGCCCCCTCCTTCTGGGGCCCGCACTTCATGTTGGTAATCCGAGCGGGCCATCGGGATCCTATAACTGTCGTCACTTTTGACCTCCTCATACTTGAAAATGGAGGAAGGAAGTATCAAGCGGGAGCCTCGTCTGTCAGTGAATGGCGAGAAAATCTCAGGCGGGAGCCCCCTCGTATGGGGCCCGCAGATCATGCTGGCAATCCGAAAGTGTCATGTAACTGTCGTCACTGTTGGGCGCCTGAGGTTCGAATATGGAAGAAATCTCGAGCGGGAATCTCGTTTTTGAATAAATTGTGAAGAAACCTCAGGCGGGAACCCCATTCCCTATGGGGCTCGCATTTTGTGTTGGTCGTCGGAGCGGGGTCGTGCGAATCCCGCAACTGTCGTCACTGTTGGGTTCCTCGGGCCTCCCTCGGAGCACGAGGAACGCGCGCCAGGCCAGCTCTTTCGCCCCGGTTACCTACTGCAAGGAATCTGGTTGCAGGTGCACATGCTCCTAGTCGCGACGCTGCTGCTCCTAGTCGCGAGCTCGGAGCGAAGCAAGACCCGCAGCTCAGGACCTGAGAGCGGGACCGGGGTCTGTAGCGATGGCGCCCAGGCCCCCAGGGTGCCTCGGGGGGCACGGCAGCAGGGGCGCACGTCCCGGGGCGGGCGAGCCGCGGCGCCGGCTGCCAAGAGGTCTGGCGCGAGGACCCGAGACAGAGGGGTCGGGCGCCGCGAGTGCGCAGTGGTGGTGGGGGCACCAGCCCGGGCGGAGGGAGCTCACCGATGCTTCCCGGGTCGGCGGCTGCTCGAAGCGCGGCTGGAGGCGCCCTGGTCTCGGTGCCTGGACGCACTGGCTGCGCGGTGGCCCGCCCCCTCGCCCTCGCGCGGGCCACCCTTTCCCTTTGCCTGGGTGGCAAACCTCTCGCGGGTGACCGCCCAATTAACTCGGGGGCGGCGGGCCCTGCCAATGGCCAGCGGGCTGCGGTCGCGGCGACGCCATTCGCGGAAGAGGTCTTCGCGGGATTTGGAATCCTGCCTGAAGGGGTCTGCGCGGGCGGGGCTGTTCCCGGGGGGGGCCCGCTGCACCACTGGTGCCAGATTCCGCTGATGTGCTCCCCGAGCTCTTTCTGGGGGCGGCACACCACGGCGGCGTCGCTCTCGCCGCTGCAGGAGTAAAGGTCGGCCTCGCTCAGGGGGGCCCTGTACATGCACCAGCCCGGGCCCGGGTCAGTCAGGCCGCTCGGGGGGGCCGCGCTGGGCCCTGAGGCAGCCCAGCCTCCAGCGCGCGGTCGCCGGGTCGGCCCACGGGGCGGCCCACGGCGGGCGGAGTTGCCCCTGTCTCTCCAGTCGGTCCAGCCCCTCCTCTCGCGGCCGTTGACCTCACGGTCGGTGCCGCTGTGCCTGTAGGCTCTCCAGGCGCGGTAGTTGCCCCCTAGGATTCCGCGGCTGTCCGCGTCGCGCGCCGCGGTCTCGCCCTGGCGGCGGCACCCTCGGGGGGGGCGTCGGGCGCAGGAGAGGGGGCCCTGCTGCTTGGAGGGGCGTCGGCAGCCCCGTGGCCTCCGACGTTGAAGGGGCCGGCCGCGCCGGACGCGGCGGCAGGCGAAGCTGGGCTGCCGGGCTGAATGCCCGTGGAGGGGCTCGGAGCGGCGTCGCCTCCCTGTCAGGCTGGGGCGGAGGTGGAAGTCGGGCTGAGCTCGACGACTGCCACTGGTCTGACCGGCGGCGCGGCGCTGGCGGGGGCGGGCGCGTCTTCGGGTGCCTCAGCGGGGGAATTGTCGGAGACGGACTCGGTGGATTCTCTGGGGCGGCGCCACCGTCCGCGGGGGCGCCCAAGGTTGCGCGGGCCCTGAATTCAGGGGTCACTGGGCCCCCCCCCCGGCTGCGCAACGTCGGCAGGGTTCGCGAGGGGGCCCGAGTCTGCGCCGCGGTCTCGCCGGGAGGCAGAGCTGCGCCGTGGGACGGGCTGTCCCGCGGCAGGCGCGCTCTGGAGATGGGGCCCGCTGGGGGCCATCCAGGCGGGCCGCTGGAGCCGCCCCCGCGCGGGCGGGCCTTGGCGGGAGGGGGGGGCCCGCGAAGCGGAGCCAGGTCTCCGCGGCGCTGGAGTCACTGGCTGGGACGGCAACCAGCTTGTCGCGCATGTCTTGGGCTTCGGCCAGGGGGCAGCCCTTGGCCAGCTCACGGAGGGGCCCTTCGGACAACATGTCGGCATTCACCTGGCTGGGAAACGCGAGGAGCGTCTCAAGCGAGTGGCTGAGTGGGGAATTCCCGCGAGCTGGATCCGCAGCGTCGATCCAGCGGTGGCGCATCTGCCTGTCCAGAGAGTTGACGCAGAGGCGGCCCGCGGCGCTCGCAGCGGCTAGCCTCTTGCAGCCCCAGGTGAACTCGACAGGGCCGCAGTCCTTGGGGGCCTCATCGCCGTTGACCTGTCTGAGCTGATCTGCTTCCCAATTGTCATGGAAATAGCGCCGCGGACTTCTCTGCCGTGCTCCTCCGCGAACTTCTCTCCATCGGTCGTCCAAGGCCGGGTCGAGGCCCCGAACGTGCTCGACTAGCGCCGCCTCGATGGGCCTGGACTTCTCGAATTTTTGTTTCGGCCCTGGGGCCGCCTGCAGGCGGCCCGCGGCCCGGCACGCCAGCTCTGGGCTGGCCGGCGGGGCGGCACCGGGTAGGAGCTCGCGGATCTCCTCCGCGGCGCGGAGCGGGGGAGGCCGCCCGCACTGGTCGAGCTGGCGGTAGCCGGAGGCCCCGCCCTCCTTGCTGCAGGCGCCCAGGGAGGAGGCGAGGGCGGGATTGGGCACGAGGGCGCTGGCCAGGGAGGGCTCTGGCAGCGCAGCAGGGGCGGGTTTGAGTTTGGCGGTAAGGCGACCGGGGTAAATGAGATCGGCGTCGCGGTCTGATCGCGCCGGGGCGCTCGCCCCAGGCGCGCGCGAGACAGCGGCGGCAGAGCCAGGTGGCATTCCAGCGACGGGTTACCCAGGCCACCGCTCGCTCCTCCCAGGGGGGAAAGCTTCCCAGGTCGACGCCCCGGGCCCTGGGGCGGCTTTCCAGACGAAGCAGCCCCCCACCAGAAGGACGGGGTCTTGCGGGGGCAGCCGTCACACGTCGCTGCGTAGCGCCCCGTGTCCCTGGCGCGGGCCCCGAACCCGTCGCCCTCGAGCCGCACAGGGGGGGCAACGTTGGCAACCACGGGGTCTTGAAGCTCAAAGGCCTCGAGAAGGCAGTCCCCAAGGGCGCGAAGCTGAGAGGGCGGCGGCAGGGCGACTCCTCCGGGGATGCGCTCGAGGGAGGGCAGCCCGTTGGCGGGGGGGGCAGTAGCAGGGCCCTTGGCGCACTGCAGGGCCGGGACTCTGTCATGGAGGACGCCCCTGGGGGGGGCAGGGGCGCCTCGCCCCCCGATCTCGCCCGCCCAGCAGGGGCCGCAGAGCCACGCGCGGCCCAGCCCGCCGGCGTGCGCCTGGCGGCGGCTCTGGGCAAGGCAAGCTCGCATTATGTCTCCAAGCCAAGTGCAGCCCGTGGACTTGAGGTTGGCGTTGGAGCAACTGTCGCAGCGGAACCGAGCCGTCTTCTGGTCGGGGCTGAATCTGCCGTCGCCGGGTGCCAGGTAAGCGGGGGCGCGGGTCACCCCGGGGAGCAGCGCAGGGGGTAGCGCTCTGTCCACGGGGGCCTTGGCGAAGGCGAAGCCGCCCCCGAGGAAGGCGCCTCCGGCCTGAGAGCCGAGCCCCTCCTCGCTACCAACCAGGTCATGGCGGAGAGCACTGGTGCCTTCAGCCTGAAAGGGCGCCGCCCCATGGCCGCGCAGGGCGGGGCAGTTGGCGGCCAGCGCGGCGGGGCGGTGATGGGCCACCAGGTCGCGCTTGCCAACGAGGGCGATGAGCGCCTCGAAGCGGCCGTGCAGTCGGCGGAGGTCATAAGGGAGAGCCCCCACGCCTCTGCGAATTCGGCTCGGAAGTGGGCGCGGTCCTTCTGCCAGGGGCAGCAGATGCCGAGGGCGGCCTCCAGGGCGCCCCCCGAGGCTGAGGGGTCAGGGAAGGGCCAGGAGGAGGGAGCGGGGCTCTCGCTCCATGACCATCATGACCATGAGCACGCAGCGCGCCTCTCCGAGGACACAGGGGGAGCTTTCGGGGTCCAGCAAGGCACCCCGATGCTTCGCGGGGTCGGCATGCCCCTCGAGCAGGCGCACCGAGGTGTCGAAGTCGGGGTGGGCGAGGTGGCGGTTTCAGGTCTTGGTCCCGCGAGACCACGCCTTGGGGATCTGGCGTGGAAGGTCAGCTGGGGTGCACCGGCCCATGGTGCACTTGTTGCGGCAGGGTCCCCCCTGGATCTGGGGTCGGGGGGGGTAGGTCGTCGGCGCGCACCACGCACGCCCCGACTTCCCAAGGGGTGCCGAGACCAAGCGCCCAGACGATTGTGGCACACGTGATGTCGTACACCAAGTTTCCCGCGCCCATGCCGAGCTCGACGTCCAAAGGGCACCCCAAGTGACACCACGCCTTCCGGTCGAACAGCGCGGGGTCGCCAGGCCCGCCCTCGGCGTTCAATTTGCGGGGGGGGGGTCCTGAGACAGGATGCAGGACGCCAGGCAGTGCGGCATGGGATAAAAGGTCGCCCAGGGCACGGTCGAGCTGGCGACCGAGGGCACCCCAGGAGAAGCCTTTGTCCAGGGGGGGCTGTAGCACACGTTGAAGCTCTTGGCGCACTGTTCCCGCCCCCCGGCGATGGCACGGTCGATTTTGACCCCATCCTCGCCAGCCTGCGCGGCGGCCTTGGAACCCAAGCCTTCGGGAGCCCAAGAGCCGAGGTCCTGGGCGGGGTCAAAGGAGGAGGGGCCCACATCCAGCTTGTCGCGATTGCCGAAGTTTTTGCCGCGGCAGAAGCGAATCCACAGGCCTACGAGGCGTGCGTAAATCGAGAGCAGCTTCAGCTTGGAGTCCTTCATGGAGCCAATCATGCGCCCGTCTGCGATGACGACTAGTCCGCGCATGGCCCGCGGCAGTCCAACGTTCACTCTATTGGGGTTGCCGACGAATCCCCAGGCGCGCGTGGAGTTCGCGCGGGCGGTGGGAAAGATGACCAGGCGGGCCTCGCCTCCTCGGCTGGAGTCTACAGCGGAGAGGGCGAGGCGCCCTGACTGGAGGTGTTTGCCCGCAATCTGACGGAGCCCCTCGAAGGAGAGGTCAATGCCGTTGACGAGGGTAGCCTTCGCCTTGAAGACCTGGTTGGAGTTGCGGCGGTCTGGCGCGTAGTCGGCGCCATTAGTCCCAGCTGCTAACTCGGCGTAGGTGGACGTCTGTGCGGAGGCAGCGACGGAGAGAGCACGAACGGCTCCGTCGCGAGCTGTCGGGGCGAGGGGTGGACTCTGCAGCGCCGCGGCGCTGGCGGGGGAAGGAACCCACTGAGTGCACGCGGCGCGCGGACGGGGAGGGGCAGCCGGCGGGACCTGGGCCACGGGGGGCCTCGTCGTCGCGCATGGCTGCGCGCGCGGACCCTGAGGCAACCCGTCTAGGAGGAGCCCCCACTGGAGCATGTACGGATAGATGACCTTGAGGTCGAGTCCATCCCCCAAGGCGGGCAGAAGGGTTCGGACCTGGTCAGTCGGCAGGGCGGCCTCGGGGATGTTGGCGCACCCTTGGCAAGGGGGGAAATAAGCTCACACGACCTGTCGCGCACCAGGAGGGCGCGATGGGCGCCCCCAATGGAGATCCTATCGGGGTCGGGGTGGAGCTCGAGGCGCTCCCGCAGGAGGTCTCGGCTGCTGACTTGAGGGTCAAGGCCAAGGGCCAGTATCTCTCGACCCCGATATCGCGGACGGGCGCCCATGGCAGGGAAGGCACCAGGGGGCGATCCTTCAGGGGGTCGAGGAAGCCGACGACGAGGGCCTTGTTGTAGTAGGCCACGGAGGGGAAGAACGCGAGGAAGGGGCGCATGCGGTAGGAGCGGGAAAGGGTGATCACCGCTCCTTGCTGCTCACCAAGGGAGTCGCGCAGCCTCTGGATGATCGAGAGGGCCAGGCCCATGTCCGCGGGCTTCCTGGACATGTCGGTGGGGGGGGGGTGCTGCGGGTCACCGACGACGACAAGGTGCCCTCCGCTGCGGATGATGTGCACCAGGGACATTGCTGCGCCCCCTTCATTCGTCTGCCCAGCCTCGTCGATCACCCCGAGCGGCAGGCAGAGCGCCAACTTCCCGCCCAGTTCGACGGCAGCCTCGCGGGTGGCGAAGATGGCCCGGCCATTATGGAATAGCTTGTAAACGGAGAACATGGCACTGTCACCGGGCTCGTATGGGGTAGCTGCCGCGCGGTGAGCGGTAGTGACCGTCGGGGGCGAGGCCGATCACTTCTTTGTCTACCTTGACCATGCGGGCAGGCCTTGCGAAGGCCTCGGGGGAGCCGACCGCGTCGCCAAGCTCGCGGGCCCTCTCGGCAGCACGGAAAGCCTTGAGGAGCTGGTCCGCGGGGGCGTTGGAGCCAGTAATGACCCCCACGAATTGCCCCTGGTAGAGCGTCGACGCCCAGGCGGCGACCTGAGCAACGATGGCGGCCGTTTTCCCCGAGCCCGGGGGGCCCAGCACTATGGCGAGGTGGCGCTCGGTGCCGGAGTGGAGCACCGTGGGCGGCGGCGGCGTCGTCGAGCACATGTCTGGCTGGGACGCACCTGGCCATTTGGAGGACTTGGCCGACGTTCTTGTCAGTGTCAGCCGTGACAAAAAGCGGGTTGGCCTGTGACGTCGGGGAAGCCAAGGTCGCCGGTGTCGAGGTCGGCGACGGACGCGTTCAGGGTCGCAGCTGCCCTGCGTCGCAAGGAGGCTCCGATGGCGTGGATGGAGCGCGCCTTGTCGGCGGCCTGCTCGTCGGCGATGTCCGCGCTGCGAAGCCCAGCTTGCATGTGAGCACTGGGCGGGGCCCCCGGAATAAGTCCTGGGGGCCATGGCCCCGCATGTAGATCTCAGTGAGGGCTGCATGCAAGTCTCCAATACTGGACGTCGGAGGAGGTTCTGTCGATCCAGTAGTAGGGGTCGTTCGGCCCCGCAGGTGGGGGGGCCTTGCTGGTGTCAGCGTGGAAGGGCCCCTACCTCTCGCGGTTGTATTGCACAATGCAGCAGCAGCTGGGGTACTTAGTCCCCTTGGGGAGGCCAAGACTCTTGCTCTCGTAGCCGGAGAGGGGTTGCCCGAGGTCGGGCAGGTCTGGCCACACCACCTCCATATCGGGGTGCTCGTCGTATGTGGGGCCCGCCACGGAGATCAACACCCGCCCAATGCAGTGCCCATCTCCTTTCTTATGCATTAGCTTGTATTGGGGGGGCCAGTCGAGGCGGTAGTAGGTGCGGCCGTTCTTGGGTTTCATCCTTTCCTGCACCTGGAAGGGGTCGAGGTCCTTGAACTTGCTGAGCCTGCTGACCTCGGTGATGGCCACGTCCAGGGCCACGGACTGTTTCCTCCTGAGCTCGTCGCGGGCGCGCTGGCTATAATCGCCGATGAGTTCGAGTGCCGCTCTGCTCTCGACCCACTGGAAGCGCAGCAAATGGTTGCAGCGGTCCTGGTGTGCGAACGGCCACTCTGCGGGCAAGATAATGGCGCCGGGGATGTGGCCGAGGGGAACTGTAGCGAGCATCCTCGTTGCGTGGCTGCAGGTGGGGAGCTCGCACAGACGCCGAATCTCCAGCGCAGCGGCGACAGGGGGGGAGTCCGCCACCAGCCGCGCCTGGGAGCTGGGCGGGCTTCCAGGGGGTTTGGGGTTGAAGGCGATGCGGCGGTAGGCGGAGGCGTCGCCCCTGGCGGCGGCGGCGTCCAGTCCGTCGGCGGTGCCCGGCCCGCCGGGGAGGGTAAGCCCCAGTGACAGGGGATCGAGCGACGTGGGGGGGAGCGGCTGCTGCGTGGTGGTCACCAGCAGACTGCGGACGCGGCTGAGCTCCTCAGCCTGTGCGTGGTAGTTGGCGTCGGCCTCTTCCTCGGCGTCTGGCTGTCCCTGTCTGGGGTTCAGCGTGGTGCTGGGGTTGGCGACGGAGCTGGCAGGGCTAGCGAAGTTCCAGGGCATGTGGGGCTGCGGATAGCCCTCGGGTATGTTAGCCCAGTCGTTCGGGAAGACGATGCCGCGCAGCTGTCGGCACCCGTCGACGACTTCCACACCCATTAGCATCCACCCAGGCCAGTGGAGGCGCTCAACGTACGAGTTGCGGTACCGGTCGAACGACGTGCCCATGAGGGAAGTCCAGAGGTTACCGCCGCTGGTGTATGCCCTGGGGTCAGGCCAGCTCTCTTCCCAGTGGCGCCCGAGCTCCATGATGTGGTTCTTGGACACGAAGTTGTCCTTGTCAATGCAGGCCTCGCAGTAGTAGCACCAGTGGTTGTTGAAGTGGACCCACCGCACCCAGGGGCAAAGGTGAGCCTGGAAGAGACGGACCGCGGTGGAGCCTGGCGCCAGGGGGGGCCCGCTCTCGCAGTTGTAGCAGCAGGGCCAGCGGGCGAGTGGCCCGCTATGGTTCTTGGCCCTGCCAATGCCGGGGGGGGCAGCTAACGGCTGCAAGCGCTGATGCCGCTGGGGGGGGGGGGGGGGGGGCGGCTGCCGCCAGGGGAGCGCCAAGCGATGGCGGCGCGGCGGGCGGGCGAGCGCGGGCCTGGCCGCGCGGCCGCTGCGTCGGGCGCCCCCTTGAGAGGCGGGGATCCCGCCAGATGGCTTGAGCCAAGGCTTGAGCCAGGCTTGAGCCAAAATGGCTACGGAGGCTGGGGAGGATACACGAAACGTCAACACTTGACTCGCCACTGTTTTTGATCGATCACCTGCAGGCTGGCCCCAAGATGGCACCCGATGCCAGCCACCAGAAGGCACCCAGGTTGCCCCGAGAAGCTTCCAAGGGGCCCCGAAGTGACTCCCAAGAGACCCCCCAGACCCCCCAAGAGGCTCCCCCGCAGCACCCAAGACGCTCTGAGAGGCTCCCAGAACCGCCAAGAAGCCGCCAAGACACTCCAAGAGAACCCACTGAAAATTGTCAGAAACATCCGAAAAGTCTCCGAAGGCCATCCATGAGGCCATTGGCCACCATTCTGCTCGCCTCCTCCTCCTCTTCCTCCCCCTCCTTCCTTGTCTGTCCCTCTCCTTTCCCTTGCCCCTCCTCCTCCTCCCCAACTCGAAAGTTTTTCGGGGTGGTCAGACAGATTACTGCTGTTCATTGTGGCGCCCCAAAACCCCAGACAAACCACTTTTCGGGGTTCCCCCCCGGAGGCTCCGGGAGCCGGGGCTGGCCGGGGAACACCCGAAAAAACACCGAAAACCCCGCCTCTGTTAGGATTTGTTGGGCCCCCCCCACCCCCCGGAGAATCCTGGAGCCTGGATGGCCAGAGAACCCCCGAAGAAACACGAAAAAACCCAGAGGTCGTGAGTTTTTCGGGAGCTGTCCGAAAAAGTTTTCAAAAATAATATTGTCTTTCCTTGCGGGGCCCCAGAACCGTCGAAAAAGCCTTGAAAGGAAATAGGAGTCTAAGGTTTTTGTTCGACGGTGGCCCCCCCCCGGAAAATCCGGGAGCCTGGGCTGACTGGAAACCCCCGAAAACCCACCGAAAACCCTCAGAGTTGGGTGTTACTTCTGTGGCTTTCCCCCCTCGGAGGATCCTGGAGCCTGGGCTGGCCAGAGAACCTCCGAAAAACACCAGAAAAACCATCGAGTTCGGGTTGTGTTTCGGATGTCTTCTGAGGTTGCTATACTTAGTCTTGTTTTTAAGTTAGGCTTTCCGGGGGGGCACAGAAATAATCTTGTTTGAAATGCAGGGCCCCAGAACCCCCGAAAAAAACCGGAGCTGGAGCATCACACAGGAGTTTCTGGCCCCCGAATGTTGCTTTTGTTTCTGAAGTTTTTCCCCCCGGATACTAGGTGCGGGGGGAGCTTGGGAAGTTCGGGGGGGATTTGCGGACCCCGACATTTCAACAACAACAAAAAACTACTTCTAACAAAACGAAAACCGTGGAAAAAAAACACCGGAAAACTGGAGATATATATATATATATATATATATATAATATATATTATATATATATATATATATATATATATATATATTATATATATGTATTAACATATATATATATATATATATATATATATATATATATATATATTAACTAAAAATAAAAAAACAAAAAAAAAAAAAAAAAAAAAAAAAAAAAAAAAAAAAAAAAAAAAAAAAAAAAAAAAAAAAAAAAAAAAAAAAAAAAAAAAAAAAAAAAAAAAAAAAAACTGGGAGGTGTTGATGTTTATCTGGGGTTTCCGGGGGCGTCCAGAAATAGCATTGCGTTTAATTGTGGGGCCCCCGAACCCCCGAAAAAAACAAAAACAACAAAAAGAACAAAAAAAGTTGCAAAGTCACTCGGGGGTTTCTGGGGTGGTTTTCTGAAATAGATGTGGTTTTAATTGTCGGGCCCGAGAACCCCCGAAAAAAAACATATACAAAAAACGAGGTGGGGGGGTGCTCCAGGGTTCCCATTCGGGACAACCTCTGAAAACCAAAAAAAACGCCGAACAACCCCCGAGTTGGAAGGTTTCCTGAAGGGTTTCTGACATGGGTTTGTTTTTAGTTGTGCGGCCCCAAAACACCAGCAAAACCACCAGAAAAAAATCTGAGAAAAAAAAAAAAAAAAAAAAAAAAAAAAAAAAAAAAAAATTGGAGGATTTTCGGGGAGTTCCACCCAGGGAAACCCCACGGAAAGAAAAAAAAATAGTTGATTGTTCCCCAATGGTTTCCCGCGGGATTTGAACCCCAGAACCCCCGGAGACAAAACAAAAAAAACAAAAAAAAAAAAAAAAAAAAAAAAAAAAAAAAAAAAAAAAAAAAAAAAAAAAAAAAAACGAAACAACCCCGAGTTGGGTTTTTGCTCGGGGACCCCCTCCCTCGCGAAAACACCCGAAAAAAAAACACGCAAACCAAAAAAATGAAAACGGCAACCCCCCCGAAAAAAAAACAACGAGTTCGGTTTTTTTGGTCAGAGGTTTCCCAGGTGGTTGTCTGAAATGGTTTTGTTTTAGATTGGGGGGGCCCAGAACCTCCGAAAAACAACAACAAATAACGATTTCGGGTTTTTTGTTCTGGGGACCCCCCCCTCTCCTGCCCCGAAAACAAAAAAACAAGCCGAGTTGGGTTTTGTTTCTGGGGTTCCCCCCCTGGGAAAACAACCGAAAAACCTCACAAACAAACCCGAGTTTGGGTTTTTTCCTGAAATTGCCCGTGAGGTTTTCTGAAATGGTTTTGTTTAGTAGGTGCGGGGCCCCAGAACCCCCGAAAAACTACCGAAACAAGTCGCACGCGTGCCCTGGCTCTTGCAAAAAGGAGCTGCGAAGGACAGGAGGCCCTCGCCTCCTTCCTCCAGGAGGGGTTTAGGAGGATCCAGGAAGAAAGCGGAGGAGGAGGACGACGACGACGACGATTTCTGGGGCCTGGCCTGGTTTTGTTTCTAGGCCTCGGCCAAGAGCGCCTCAGTGGTTCCCCAAGAGCCGGGGGG